AAATGAACGCTATTTGCTGTTTATTGCTCTAGTTTTTTTTAGTTTCTTTAGAAATGCTCTACGTTCCCAGTCATTGGCAACCCGTAAATTACGCAAAAGAAAACCTTAAGACAGGGAAAAAGATAAGTGGGAACACTGTTACTGGATTCTTAAAGTAATATAGGGACCCAACTCTGCCTTGAACTAGCTCATCCTTCCTTTCCAATGCACATATTCCCAAAGAACATAGGTATATGTTTGGAACATGAGTCCATGAAAGTAGGGCAAATAATAAGAATGATTTGGGAAGAAAATGATATCTAACCTACTAAAGCAAAACGAAGGAAAAAGACAAGGAAAATATTTGTATATGTGTGTTTGGTCAAAAAGAAAATAGAACAGAACAATAATTTCCTTGTTCTTTCCTTTATCAGAGACATATCATGCCCCTTGAATATTCTGTGTTCTTACAGCTTTAGTCCTTGAGTCAACTACTAGATGCTAAAGCAAAAAGAACTATCAATCAGCAACCACCATGAAATTACCATTCAAATTTCCAGCTAATTGACCCATACGCGGCTAAGGAAAGCTAAGGAAATTTCCTTGCTCCTCCTTTACATGATACGTTTTGTCTGATATAATAGTCCAAATACAAAGGCGGGTGGAATTTTAAGTGCTAATCCTTAAAGTAATATAGGGACCCAACTCTGCCTTGAACTAGCTCATCCTTCCTTTCCAGTACACACATTCTTTCACAACTTTCACACCATACTTCTCTCTCTGGTACTCAATAATTCTTCTTCCATTTCCCAAAGAACACGAGAAAATGGCAGCAGAGTTTCTTCTTCCAATTGCCTTGGAGAAGACGTTGACAAGGGTGGCTTCCATTACTGCTGAAGGGATCAGATTTGCTTGGGGATTACAGGGGCACTTGCAAAAGCTCAACGAGTCCTTGACCGCGATCAAAGATGTGCTTCAAGAGGCAACCAGAAGGCCAGAAACAGAGGGGTCTGTGAAGCTTTGGCTGCAGAAGCTTCAAGATCTAGCTTATGATGCTGAAGATGTTCTAGACGAGTTTGCTTATGAGACTTTTCGTCGCAAAGACCGAATGAGGGGAAAGCAGTTACGTGACTTCTTTTCGAAACACAACCCTGTGGCATTCCGTTTGAATATGGGTCAAAAAGTTAAGAGGATCTATGGAGCCCTCGATGAAATTCAGAAACATGCAACTGGCTTTGGGCTTGTAATTACATCTCTACAGCATGTAGGTAGAGCTCCAGAGATGAGGTTGGACCGAGAGACAGACTCCTCCTTTGAGAGCTCAGAAGTTGTAATCGGAAGGGAAGCTGATGTCTCTAAAGTCATGAAGTTGCTGATTAGCTCGATTGATCAACAAGTTCTTTCTGTTGTCCCTATTGTGGGGATGGCAGGTCTTGGAAAGACTACTATCGCAAAAAAGGTATATGAAGAAGTAAAGGGTAGAAAACTTTTCGATGCAACAATATGGGTTTGTGTCTCTAATAATTTTGATAAAGTTAGGATTTTGGGAGAAATGCTGCAAACTGTTGGTGACACTAACGGTGCGTTAACAAATCGAAATGCAATTCTTGAAAAACTTAAGAAGCAGCTTGAAAAGAAAACATTTCTTCTTGTACTTGATGATGTATGGAATGAAGATGATGATGAGTGGAATAGTTTGAAGGAGCAACTGTCAAAAATCAATGACAAGATTGGGAATGCTGTTGTTGTCACAACCCGCTGCAATCAAGTCGCGGAGATGATGGAGTCTTCTCTTGATTGTCGGCAGAAACCTGGTAAGCTATCGGATGATCACTGTTGGTCCATTATCAAGAAGAAAGTGAGTGGGACCGGAGGAGTGTTACTGAATTCAGACTTGGAAGCTATTGGAAAGGAGATTGCAAAGAAATGTGGAGGGATACCATTAATTGCCAGTGTTTTAGGAGGAACGTTGCGCAAAAAGAACACAGAGGAGTGGCAGTCAATCCTAAACAGTAAAATTTGGGATTCTAAGGATGGAGAAAGAGCTTTGCGGATATTGAAATTGAGTTTTGATTACTTGTCATCACCATCATTGAAGAAATGTTTTGCATACTGTTCCATTTTTCCTAAAGATTTTGATATTGAAAAGGAAGAGCTAATTCAACTGTGGATGAGCGAAGGTTTTCTTGGGCCATCGCATGGGAGGATGGAAGACATAGGTAACAAGTATTTCAATGACTTGCTTGCAAATTCTTTTTTCCAAGATGTTAAGAGGAATGGGCATGAGATCGTAAAAAGTTGCAAGATGCATGATCTTGTGCATGATCTTGCATTACTGGTTTCAAAATCAGAAACGTTAACTCTGGAGGCTGGTTCAGCTGTTGATGGTGCATCTCACACTCGTCATCTAAATCTGATTTCCTGTAGGAGTGTTGAATCAGCATTTTCAGCAATTGATGCAAGGAAATTGCACACTTTTTTCTCTATGGTCAATGTACTAAATCAGTCTTTCAAATTCAGAAGCTTGAGAACTCTCAACTTGCAAAGTACTAATATCACTGAGTTACCAGACTCAATTTGCAAGTCGAGACATTTGAGATATCTTGATGTCTCATATACTGAAATCAGAGCATTACCTGAATCCATCACAAAGCTCTACCATTTGCAAACATTAAGATTCATTGCTTGTTACTCGGTAAAAAAGCTTCCCAAGAAAATGAGAAATTTAGTCAGCTTGAGACATCTTCATTTTAGTTATGATTTCCAAGTGCCAGCTGAGGTGAGATTCTTAACGTGCCTTCAAACATTGCCAGTTTTTGTTGTGGATTCAGATGGAGGCCATAAAATTGAAGAGTTGGGATGTTTGAATGAACTAAGAGGAGAACTGAAGATTGACGGGCTTGAGCATGTGAGAGACAAAGAAGAAGCCGAGAAGGCAAAACTGCGCGAGAAAAAAATGAACAAACTGGTATTTCTTTGGAGGTCAGAGATAGAAAGCAGGTGCAATGTTAATGCTGAGGATGTGTTGGATGGTCTCCAGCCTCACCCAGACATAAGAAGCTTGAGGATTGTGTGTTACATGGGTGAAAATTTCCCATCATGGATGTCTATGTTGCCACTCAATAATTTAATAACTCTGGAATTGAAAGATTGCAGCAAGTGCAGACAACTCCCAACACTTGGATGTCTCCCTCACCTCAAAACTCTATGGATAAATAGAATGGCTAGTGTGAAATGCATAGACAATGCGTTTTATGGGAGCAATAGCAGAGCAACAGTACTCTTTCCGGCTTTAAAAGAATTCACTCTGTGGTATATGGATGGTCTTGAAGAATGGATGGTACCAGGAACAGAAGGTGAACAAGTATTTCCTTGTCTTGAGAAGTTGAAGATCCACAGCTGTGCTAAGTTGAAAAGCATTCCGATAAGTCATCTTTCATCTCTTGTAGAGTTTGTTATAAATGACTGTGATGAAATGTGTTATTTATCTGGAGAATTTCATGGCTTCAAATCTCTAAGATATTTGAGAATAAGGTATTGTTCAAAGCTGGCATCCATTCCAAGCATAAAACACTGCACAGATCTGGTGGAATTGGATGTTGAGGATTGCCCAGAGTTGATCTCAATTCCAGGTGATTTTGGAGAATTGCAGTGTCCTCTGGAGAAATTGAGAATTTTTAATTGTGGATTAACAGCTGTTCCAAGTTGGCTACGGTCCTGCACATCTCTTGTTGAATTAGAAATTGTCCACTGTCAGACTTTGACTTATTTCCCAGAGGATTGCTTCCGCTGCCTCACCCAATTGAAGACATTGACTATTGGTCGTTTCTCAGAGGAGCTGGAGGCTTTTCCTGCAGGAGCTATGAATTCAATCCAACACTTGAGTGGGTCCCTTGAAAGGCTGGCGATAGATGGATGGGATAAAGTGAAGAGTGTACCACATCAACTTCAAGACCTCACTGCCCTTATGCAACTGAATATGGTTGGCTTCAATGGAGAGGAATTTGAGGAAGCTTTGCCAGATTGGTTGGGCAACCTTTCATCTCTTCAATTTCTTTCTATCTCCAGTTGCAAGAATCTCAAGTATCTACCAAGTTCAACTGCCATGCAACACCTCTCCAAATTAAAGAGCTTATGTGTTCATGGTTGTCCTCTTCTTTCAGAAAATTGTAGGAAGGACAACGGCCCTGAGTGGCCCAAGATTTCTCATGTCCCAACAATCTATATACGTGGCCAATATTTACAAAACAAGGTAAGTATGAAATATCTGTCAATTAGTTGCGAAATGGGAATTCACAAAACGGTTACTCCTCCAGTTTTTTTTTTTTAAAAAAAAAATTGTTCAAAAATACATATTTCTCATCGAAAAGTTAAAAAATAATTATTTACTTTACTTTGGTTAAAAATTAAATTCATATATTTTTGTTTATTTATATTTAATTTGAATGAATAATATTGTAAAAACAATAAAAATTATATACAATTGCGTATAATATTTAATGTTTTTTTTTTAATTTACATGAAAAGTCAAATATGACTCTTTTTACACATTTATTTACTTAATAGTAATTTAATTTATTTTTCGTTTGTTCTTTGTTTGCAGGAAATGAATTAAAAATGTGCAGAATCTGTAACAGGAAAGGACTGTTATGTGGAAGCGATTTTAGGTATATTTCAATTCCTTTCCTTTCAAACTTCTTTATATCCACTTATGTCTTTTTCTATAATAATTTTGAACAGTTTAATGTAACTTTAGAAGTTTTATTCTTTCTTTTTAAATGGTGATAAGCTTGATTTTAGGTATATTTCAATTTTTTTTTTTTTTTTTTTTGCTTTCTGATTTTTACTTCCTTTTTAAATGGTGTCTTTATTTTTTATTATATAACTTATTTTATGATGGGGCTGTGGTTGTGGTTGCTCATCAGATGAATGAGGCTAGCAATTACTGACCACACTAAGCATTAGAGCATAGCAGTGCTGTTTATGAGCAAGTTCAAAGCACACTGTTCGTGTCAGAGGCAATGGTGGCTGTATTGATGGTGGACGTGGTGGCAGAGATGGCTGAGGACGTAAAACATCTAATAAACTCAGTATGACAACAGCTACCTCATCTAGTTATGTGTTATGGATCAGCGGTATAGAAGAAGGCAGCAGATTAAGGAGAGAAACTAAGATCTTGTGGATATTTATTTATTGTTTTTATTTATTATTTATTAAGAATAAGTTAGATTAGGAAACGGATACGAGAGTCCTAATTGGTGTGGTATTTTAATTTAGATTTTCTACGTTAGTGTGAGACTGTCTAGACAATAGCCTATTATGTTTGTTTTTATTTTTCAACTGTCTCTGCCATATAAAGAGCGGATGCTTTCTACATAAAGAAATAAAATAATTCAGTCAAGAAAAACCTAGAAGAGTTGGTGGTCTCTATAACAAACCATTCATTGTTATCTGTTCACAATATGTTCTTCATCAAAGAATCGAAACATGAATAAGGGAAAGCTAATTGATTTCCTCATTATTCGACCCTTAACAAGATCCTTAACTCTAGACCATAACATTATGCATCATCCTTGTTTTACCTCTATTAAATAATTAAAGACAGTGGTTTTTACAGGGATCTGGGAATGCTAGTAGCAATTAGCATTGACATAGGATTGCAATGCTCTATTGCACAATGCCAATGAGCAAAGCAAAGCAAGTATTTTTTAATCAAACTTAGGCTTTGCGCTACCTGAGGTGGAAAATGATTGGAAGATAATCAAGAATGCAGGTTGATCTCGATATTATTTACCATATTAGATTTTCTAGATTTCAATACTACAATATTTTCTTACTTCTTTTATATATGTTATTGAGTAACGTTAAAAATCAGCACTCACTGCTTTGTTTCCTTTTCATAGGAAATTCTATAGCAACAGAGGAATATTCATTACCTTAATATTACGATATAAATCTTTCAAACCTTCATTTAGAGGTCATTAATTTTTTATTTATATCTTCAATTAAGGCCCTGCCTATCTTCCTTGACGTGGTTCTTCTTGCTTTGTGGTGATATACAATCAGTCACATTCGGTAAGCTAAAATCTTGCATCTGATTCTGACCAAGCGTCGCATCCAGTTAGACTTTACAAGAACAATAACAATAAACCAACATCTAAATGCACAGATGGCAAAAGGAAAATTGATATATTTGAAGCTGAAGGAACATCTGATGTTGCTGTGAAAAAAAAAAAAGAGGGTTTCTAAAGTTAAGTCCTTGGACGATATTGAAGAGGGCACATATTGGAATCGTCTACCTGTTTCAGAGGATTCAAATTCATGTTCTCAGGGTGCACTGACTGCATCAGAAAGAGCAAATGGCTCTGGCTCTGCTGCTGAGAATTTAAATGTAAGGATGTGGATCAGTTTGAATCTGTTGCCAGATTACCTATTCTGGCAGAGTTATCATGTGTTATATGTTGGACAGAATTTAGTTCAACCAGAAGTGTGTTGCCATGTGGTCATCGATTTTGTTATTCATGAATCCAAGAATGGGCTGATCACATAGTATGCATTTTCTTCCGGTCCAATTTACTTCATTCTGTTTCCATTAATAAACTTGTTTAAATGTCATATTGAAGACATTTGATTCAGTGAGTTGTGACTTGCGACACACATAATGGACCAAACACTTGGCAGTCCTGTCATGTTTGTAGTTTGTACCTTATCAGTTTTCATGCTAAATTCAATTTTCATACATTCTTCTAGTTGCTTTTAAAGAGATGCGTTTGTCATCTGAAATAAATTTGGTTCAGGTAATTTTTCATAATCCTTGTTTTAGCTGAAGCAGCTAGATAACTGTTCCTAGATTTCTGAAGATAAACTTACTATAGTATGTTTACCTTTACTGTGGCTATAACATTAATCTTCAGTAACAAATATCATGTAGAAGTGGATTGTTCGTAAACTTCCTTCAGAAGTGGATCATCTTAAAATTAAAAATTTAAAGGTTCATCTTTAGTGATTTCTTAATGTTAAGAGTTCAGGTGCCATTTGATATCTTTGCCATTTCTCTACTTTGAAGTGGTTATCTTTACCTTTTGGATGATTACGGTTGAAAAGTTTTCTTCTGCTGCTGCTGCTGATGATTAATGTAGGTTTCTAGGAGAAAAATTTCAACCTGTCCTCTGCAAGGCTGGTTTTTCAGTCATAACAAAGGTGGAGGATGCAGCCACCTCTGATCTAAAAACTTATTCTCAAACTCTACCGCGTGCCTCATCAGCAGTAGATGTTTTTGTTAATATGTTTCAAGAACAAAATAAATTTGGTTCAGGTAATTTTCCATAATCCTTGTTTTAGCTGAAGCAGCTAGATAACTGTTCCTAGATTTCTGAAGATAAACTTTCTATAGTATGTTTACCTTTACTGTGGCTATAGCATTAATCTTCGGTAACAAGTATCATGTAGAAGTGGATTGATCATAAACTTCCTTTAGAAGTAGATCATCTTAAAATTAAAAATTTGAAGGTTCATCTTTAGTGATTTCTTATTGGAAGAGTATATCAATTTGGGAATTGATACTGACGCCTTACATTTAAATATAGGAAGTCAGTGAATTGAAGACTAAAGATTCATTTCCAAATTCGTACTTAATGCTGATCGATGCATTGGTTATGTGGTATGCTTCTTTTTTCTTGTTCTAGCACTTGGTTCCATGTTCCTTTCTTCCCTCTTAGTAATATGTTTTCATGTATAAATTAGTAGATCATCATTGTTGTAAACGCCGGATTCAGATTAGACAGAACCCATAACCACCCTGATCATAAGCTGGTGTAAGGTAAGAGTACTTATCAAACTGTTCCTTTTGATATCATTCTGTAATTTGTTATTGAGCGATGTTTTCCCTTACAATACCTAACAACCACTTGGCTCTATTTTAATTATTGTATGTTCAGCCGAACCTCCAAGATTGAAGGAAGCCAGGGAATGATTGTTTAAAGCTTCTGTAGAATGTGTGACCAGGCCAGTCTGCTGATGTCCTTCTCAGATGAGTAACTTTGTTTAAAAGCAAGAAAATGGATGAAGCTGGCAAGTTCGAGAGCTTAACATGGGCATGGATGTCTAAGACTTTGTAACCTTTTTGTGTATAAGGGTAATCCAAGAAGACACAATATGTGGATCTGTGAGCAAATTTGTCTTAGCAAGGTAAGACCTAAGCATAACATAGACAACCAAAAACTCTAAAATGAGAGTAAACAAGGGATTTGTGAAACAAAATTTCAAAAGGAGTCTTGCCATTCAAGAAAGGTGTAGGTGTTCTATTGATGATGTAAGTAGAGGTTAGGAGACAATCACCTTAGAATTTAATTGGTATATGGGATTAAAACATGAGAGCTCTAGCAATATCAAGAATATGCCTATGTTTTCGTTATACAATCCCATTTTGTTGAGAGATATATGTAATAGTGGTTTCATGAAGAACACCATTTGAAGATAAAAAATCTTAACAAGCCTGTTGTAGGAATTCAAAACCTTTATCTGTTCTAATCTTGACAAGTCCATGTTCCTCTAGAAAAATCATTAACAATAGACAAGAAAAACCTCTCTTTACAGTAGGTTGAATGCTTATAGGGCTCTCATATATCCACATGAATTAGTTCAAAAGGAGACTTTGTGACAGTAGTGCTATGGGAAAAGGGCAATCTGGCATGTTTTAGCTAATGGACATATGTCATAGAAAAATTCATGAACAGATGGAATAGAAATTTCAGGAGTCAATTTGAGACGAGATAAAGACACATGGGTAAATCTTTTGTGCCAAAGAGTTACATCAGAATGATAACTTGCTTTATAAGGATTTTCATAAAGAAGCATAAAATGATCTGAAATTTGGTTATTAAGTATAGAATTCGAACTACAAGATGTTTTAGAATGACTAGGAAAAGACCTGTTATCAGAGTAATTTGTAGATGTAGTGGCTGAGAAGGCAGCTAGAATGACATAGGGAGACCATTATGAGTTTTACCAATCTCTTTTATCGTTCCAGTCCAAAGGTCCTGAAATAGACAAAGGTTAGGGTAAAAGATTGCCAAACAATTGTTGTCAGTGGTGAATCTAGCTATTGACAACAGATTAAACTTGAAGTCTGGTAGATACAAAATGTTTTGGAGGACAGAATTTGGAAACATGATCGAGCTTATATGAGTTACAATAGTCATAGTGCCATTAGGTAATCTGACAGTAAGATTAGATGTAAGCTTTTTAGGATTATACAAGCAATTAAGCTTTCCAGTCATAGGAACATTGGCCTCTATATCTACTATCCACACATCATCATTCTCACAATCAACATTAAGGAGACTACAGAAATAGTTACCTCCCATGTTAGCAATAGGTACTGCAGGTGTAGATGCCTTAATGTTATTCTCTGACTCTCTGAAGCTCCATTACCTACTGATACTGATGAGGTGAAAAAAACTGATGGTTTTACAGATTTGCCCAAGTAAGCTTGCTCATGATTCTGACCAGATTGAACTCCTGAAGGGTCGATCATGTGATTAACATACATCATAACTCTATCATTTTCCAAATAACTCATATTATGAGCATTATAGGTTCTCTGTTCACCAATAGGTCCACCCTTACGTCCTCTGCTATTTCCAAATGATCTTTTAGGAGGATGAGGATATCCATGCAATTTATAACAAGTCTCCTTCAAGTGACCAGACTGATGACAATGATCACATACAACATCTCTTCTGTTTTGTGACCAATTAGTCTTATCACCAAATTGCTTTATTGGATATTGACTTCTGGAAGAATAGAAGGCTGTAGGAACACTTGAATTAGCACTTGAATTAACACTAATGTCTCTCTGCAATTCTTCATTGGACACCATGGGATATGTCTATGAATGAGTTGGCATTGGCTGCATCAGCAAAATCTAAGATCTTACTGCTTGAAAATTATCATTCAATCTTATAAAGAATTGCATCACCTTATGCTATTATGTATATATGACAAAAGGCTGAGAAATCTCACAATGCCAATGTAGACAAGCACAAGCTGGTGGAGGAATCAATGAGTCTAACTGATCCCAAATCTGTCTTAACTTTGAGTAATACATTGCCACAGAATCTGCACCTTGAACACAAGAATTAATTTCTTTATGCAATGTCAAGATCTTTGCACCATGTTGTTTATCAAACATTTCCTTAAGATCCTTTCAAACATCCACAACATCTTGATAGTAGACTAAGCTGTTAAACAACTGCACAAATACATAATTAAGTAGCCAAGCACGAACTAGGGCATTACATTTTTTCCATTGAGCATATTCAGGAGAATCTAAATTCGGTCTCGAACATTTATCATTGATAAATCCATCCTTACACTTTGCTTCCAAAGAAATCAACATTGCCTTACTACATGAAATGTAATCATCTTCATCTTGGAGCAACTGATTAACAAGAACCAAATTAGGTGTGTCTGAAGGATGCAAGAAAAGAGGATCATTGAAATCTCTCTGTAAATTGATAGGATGTGTAACATTTTGGTTATCAGCTCGATTTTCCTTGATTTTGAGAAATTTTCTCGAGAAAATGTGTCAATTTTCTTAGGAAAAGAAAGAAAGAATTGATCTCTAAGAATGATACACAATGAGATCCACAAAGGTGTTTATGAAGTATAATAATGAGCAGAAAATGCTTAATCAATCATTCAAGATGACAAGAAGATTAAGCAAGAAGGAGAGAACAATGAAAAAATTTTCTCGGTATCCAAACGCTCTCTGGCTTTGATACCATGTTAAGAAGCAGAGAAGTAAAACAGAGAAGGGTGAAACAAATATCTTGCTTAGTTATTTTCCTCATCCACGTAACACAGTATTTATACAAGGGAAAAGTAAGCTACCTAAGTCAGTTATATAACTGACATGTACAACAACTAACTTTAGTAAATAATTGACTAACCAACCCTTAACTAACTAACAAATTATATTCTCAATAATTAATATAAATCAAATTTATTTATTGAGCAAAATTATTTGATTTATATATATTTACTAACAACATAATTGATATAAGGTTCTTTCAAAACATTGTTTCAATTATTTTATTTTAAAAAATATTGATTTTAGAACATGAAAGAGAATAAATAACAAATAATTTTTGTTATGTGTGCAAATACATAATTAATTTCTAATAAAACTAATGATACATATTTTAATTATTTTATTTAAAAAAAATTAATTTTAGAACATAAAAAAGAATAAATAACAAATAATTAGTGTTATGTATGAAGATACATAATTGATTTCTAACAAAACTATATATATATATTAAATAATTTTTTTTTCAAAGAACATCTAAGTTGTATGGAATATATTAAAATCGATAAATTGAAATAAAAACTATTACAAAATCAGTCCCCACAAATTTAACTTCTTAATTTATGATGAAAGATATTCTTGAATTGCAAATTAAATTATAAATTAGTTCATCTCATTTTAAAAAATGAACTAATTAATTCTTTTGGTTTCAAAAATAAATTATTTAATTTTTTCAATCAGTATTGACCACGAATAACTTATTTTGTATTTTAGAAAAAAACGTTTCTCATATTTTTACTTATTTTTTTATTCTTTCTCTATTTCTTAAAACAATTGAAATAGCAAAAAGGATTAAAAAAAATAGTTTTTGAATCGAAGGGACTAATGATGTTATATATTTAGATACATAATTAGTTTCCAATAAGACTAATGATATATATATATATACATAGTGATCATATTTAGTAGATTCTGAGTATATAGTATAAACAAATTTTTTATTAAAAAAACCATCTAAGTTGTATGGTATATTAAAGTTAATAAATTGAAATAAAAACTAATATAAAATTAGTTCTCATAAATTTTACTTCTTAATTTATGATGAAAGAGATTCTTAAATTGCAAATTAAATTATAAATTAGTTCTCCTCATTTTGAAAAAAGAATGAATTAATTATTTTGATTTCAAAAATAAATTATCTAATTTTTTTTAGTTAGTGTTAACCATGAATAATTTATTTTTTATTTTAAAAATTGTCTTTTTTTTCATATTTTTAATTTTTTTTATTCTTTCTCTATTTCTTAAAACAAAAAAATAAAAACAT